TCGCCGCATACGCGACCCGCAGAGGGAAGGCGTCTGTAGGAAGGTTAGTTTATCCTTCAATGCTACATGTACTACGCCCACAGAAGGATGGTGTCTGTAACAACATCAGTTGGTCCTTCAATGCTACATGTAGACCTACTAGGCCTACACAGGGAGGGTGTCTGTAAATGGTATTACATTACTCAATGCTACATGTACTACGCCCACAGAAGAAAGGCGTCTGTCACAGTGTTAGAAGGCTAGTAGGTTCCTCGATGCTACATGTACTACGCCCACAAAACGAAGGTGTCTGTAGGAAGGTGAGTAGGTCCCTCAATGCTACATGTAGCACGCCTATGGAGGAAGGGAAGGCGTCTGCGCGTGAAGGCGGACGCGTGTGTCATTGTGCTTCAGTCACTAGCAGCTGTTGCAGCGACACGGCTGCGATGTGTCTCTCTAGAAGTAGATGCACCGAGGCGTCCACACAACTGTGATTTACAGCATAAAGGCTGGTGCACTTGATCACCCGTTGGAAGCGCTGATGTGAAGCACTGTGTTCGGGCAGATGGTGGTGACGGGCTGACGGCTGAATGCACCAACCAACGCTCCTATTTTCTTTATACGCGCTCATCAGTTCAATACATAGCCATGTCAAATCTGTTCTTTGGATGAAGACAACCCTAACCCTAAACCTAACCCTAATCCTAACCCTAACCCTAATCCTAACCCTAACCCTAATCCTAATCCTAAAACTAACCTTAAACCTAATCCTAATCCTAACCCTAACCCTAAACCTAACCCTAAACCTAATTCTAACCCTAAGGTTCCCTAAACCTAAACTTAACTCTAGCCCTAAACCTAATCCTAACCCTAAACCTAACCCTAACCCTAACCCTAATCCAAACCCTAATCCTCCTGGTAAAAATGGTCTTGTCGGCGTTATATATAATCATGCTCTTCGCGAACTTACCTTCACATGGGTACATGGCTTTTGTGTGTGTGTGTGTGTGGGAGGGGGGGGGTGTTTAGGGCTTGCGTTTTTGTATTCCGAATAAATACACCTTGTTGACACCGGCCTTATTCCGGCCGCAGGATGGCGCCACTCCGTTGTTCAGGCCGCGCAGCAAGGCAAGCTAGAGTGGCGTGGAAGAACTCGTGCAAGTACGGGCCTAACCATGAGCGCTAGAGGTGAGAGATAAGCACATATAAGTACATATAAATACATATATAGCAACATATAAATACATTATATAGCAACATATAAATACGATCTATACCAATATAAACACATATAAGCGACATTAACAGCTGGGAGGGAATTTTTTTATCGCGAATGGTCCTTTTGATCTTTAGAGAACGGGGAGTCAGCACTCCACGCGCGGCGTGTTCGGTCCACATGGCAGTTGTCAAGCACCTGATGGTGAATGATCTATACCGGACACTGAAAAGCAAGGTGGCGTATATAACATACGACCAGTTAGCACCGCAGCTAGATGCTGCGTGGTCGTCGAATAGCGCAGCGTCTTGATACTGTTTGATGCTCTATAGATGTTATCTTCAGCGCACGTGGGCAGTCTGCATCAGCAGCAGGCATGCTCACGTAAGATCGTGCACAGCAGGGCTCGAACTGCGGTTCACGCACGCATGCCACAAGAGAACGAACGATGGACTAACGAACGACGAATGCACGGGCACTCACGCAGCTGCAGCGGCTACGCACGCACGCGACGCACGCACGGAGCACGCACGCACGTAATGTAATCCTTAGGCACACTGCACAGGCACGACAACACACGGCAGGACACGCAGCCACGGCACTACAGCGGGGCAGGAGCAACGCACACACGGCAGCAGCACGCACACAACACGCAGCACAACAACACAGGAGCACGCCACCAACACACACAGGAGCACGCAGCACAAACATCCGCAGGAGCACGTAACAACACCGCAGGAGCACGTACACAACACACGCACAGGAGCGCAGCGCATACAACACACCGCAGAGGCACGCACACAACACAGCGCAGGAGCACGCACAAACAACAGGAAGCCACGCACACAACACACGCAAGGAGCACGCACACAACACGCGCAGTAGACGTAGCACAACACACGGAGGAGCACGCACACACACACAACAGGAGCACGCACACAACAGCAGCACAGGAGCACGAGTACACGCACACGCGCAGGAGGCACGCACACAACACATAAAAAAAGCAGGAGCACGCAACACAACAGCGCAGCACGCACACACGCACCACACGCAGGAGCACGCACACAACACATACAGGAGCCGCACGCAACACGTAGCGCGAGCACGGCACACAACAGCACACGGAGGTTCAGCGCCACAACAACACGCAGCACGCACACACGCAGGAGCACGCACACAACACAGGCACAGGAGGGCGCGCACACAACACACACAGGAGCACGCAACACAACACACACAGGAGCAGCGCACACAATCACGGCACAGGAGCAGCGCAACAACACACACGCAGGAGGCACGCAGCACAAACACACAGGAGCACGCACAGCAACACACACCAGGAGCAGCACACAACACACACAGGAGGCACGCAACAACCGCCAACGCACACAGCCACAACAGCACACAGGGGCAGCGTACACAACCAACAACACGCACACAACACAACAGGAGCACGCACAGCACGCCGCAGCACGCGACACAACACAGCGCAGGCAGCGCGTACCAACACACAACAGGAGGCACCCACACACGCCGCAGCAACGCCACAACAACACACAGGAGCACGGTACAACGCACCGCGCAGGAGCACGCACACGCGCAGGAGCCACGCACACAACACGCGCAGGAGGCACGCACACAACACGCGCAGGAGCACGCAGCAGCAACACACACAGGAGCACGTACACGCACACGCGCCAGGAAGAGCACTGCACACAACACGCGCAGGAGGCACGGTCACACAGCACGCACAACAACACACCAGGAGCACGTAGCGAGCACGCACAAGCACACAGGAGCACGTACACGCACAACGCGGCAGGTAGGCACGTACACACACAGAGCACGTACACAACAGCACAAGGAGCACGCATAACAACACACGCAGGAGCACGCACACAACACAGCACAGGAGGGCACGCATACAACACACGCAGGAGCAACGCACACAACTCGCGCAAGGGCAACGCACACAACACACGCGCGCAATTTGCAAATGAATTGTTAATAACAAATACATCCAAAGAGCTAATAATACATAGAGTGTAGCAAGGTGTTATTAGCTATTGACACTCTAATTCCACTGCAAGGCGGGTGTCAAACTCATTTTGGTTCATGGCCTCCACTGGCGCGATCTGATCTCAAGTGGGCCGGCAGTAAAATAATGGGGCAAAATAACGCTACGTCAACTCGCAAATCTTTAGCTTTGTTTTTCAAAGTAGCTATGCTTTACATTCAGCCTACATGTGTAAGGCCTACATAATCACGGACGCACAAAAGATCTATTGATTAGCACAACATTTATTCAACAGATAGGCCAATGGAATTGAATAAAACTGCATTTCCCACATTCATTAACAATGACTCAAATAGAGTTGAGTGAATACATTTTGCTGGAATGAGCATTTTGGTTATTTCTTTAAAAAATCATAACTCATCACAGGAATGGGCTAGAGACTTACTTTTTTTTTTGACATACTCAGAGATTTATGCTCTACATGTCGCGGGCCTGATCAAATCATCTCGCGGGCCGGATCCGGCCCGCGGGCCGTATGTTTGACACCCCTGCGAGTCTAATGGCTCCGTAGCTTATTCTAACTAATGTGCGCTGTTCGTACAAAGCCTGTAACTCTCACATTGCTTCACTATTCAGGATGGATTTAGTCCCATTGACCTGGCCAAGGATTCGGGATACGGTTCTATCGCCGACTACCTTAGAAAGTGCCGACACACAACCGCTAACGGCATGTCATCGCAGACGGCAGTGTAACGTGACACGTGCTGCCATCTATTGTCGCATAACCGGTGTGTCAGAAAACGACCAAAGCCCCAAACCTTTTTACAGGGTATATAGGATGTAAAAATGCCAAAGTCACATACGTGCGACACGTGCGCGCATACACACGTACATACATACACGCACGCATGCACGCACGCACACAGACATAATATACACCAGCCAGTCGGTGAAATCGTTGTGTGATATAAGTTAGCTTGGGTGAACGCTTGTACCTAGTGACTAGAGTAACTTTGTCGTAAAAATGTTGACTTTATTCCTTTGTAGGCTGTAGCCCAGCACAAAAAATTCGCCAATAGCTTTAATTGCAGTGTGATTTTAGCATTTACTGCATAGTTCAATATAGAACGAGTTCTTCAGTCATTATTGCTTTGAATCGCGACTTTCTAGAACTAAAATGGGCAATAAACAGCCTTCGTTGTTTTCGTAGGTCATGTGTAGGACGAACGAGAAATGCCAGTCGATGTGAATTGCCAAAAGCTGTGTCTGGATTTTAATTTAATTCAATAGGTGCGCACGTACCAATATATATCGTGCAGTACGTTTAGGTGGGTGAGGGCGTGTACTGGTGCACACATCACTCGGTGGATAAAGACCCCCTTCCTCCTAACACATCTACACTGCCCTAATCACTGTGCTTGATGCTATGAAAATACGATGTATATATATCGAGAACGTTTGTAATAAAAGTGAATTATACTTGCTATAGTGAGTGCGTTTGGTAATCGTGAACATAGCAATATTGTCAATCCATTCCTGTAAATTCTTGCATAGAACACCAATAACCACTGAAGCCTATGTGTGGCTACACTAATGAAAGGGTGTGTGAGAATTTAAATGCTGCAATAGTGAATCATCATCATGTCATATCTTCCCATACCTCATGTTTATGTAAAGTAGTCCCCGTGGTGGAATAATGTCAGTTATACCCTATGGAGAGAATACAAGCATATGTCTGTTCTTTTGCCCTGTAGATATTACAAGCCAAGAAATACATTAGTATTTGATGTGGGGGAAACACAATAGGCTATGAAAACAGAAGACAATGTTTACATGACGATTTTTCTTTTACTCTAACAACCGGTGTAAATTGGGAATCAAAACATAACTTTCATGATACATATATATGGATGTTATTTACATGTATTGTATACATTATACATCCACGCATGATTGGAACTCGAATAATTTTCCTATGACACAATTAGTTGAAGAACAACATTCAGGCATTTAACAAACACATGATTTCGGTGTGATAATTATCGTAAAAAATATATGTGCGTATCAGTCGGATATGATCAACTGATGCTTCATCAGAAAATTTGCATTTTCTATGTACTAGGTCGTATCATATATGAAAAATTTGTTGCATCTTTTGATATACTTATATAGATAGCAGTTATTTTCGTTACTTAAAAAAACCCCAAATCCCTAGAATCCAAAATACTACAAATCCCTCTAGCTACACTAATTGCTCAAAGCAAAATGAATCCGCTAGTTCCCAATCATTTCACAGTTATCGGTAAAAATTTTACATTTTGCAGCCGATTAAATCAATCTGAAATCACAACAACCAGGACGACGTTGCAAAACCCGGCACCAAAAAGAGCCGATTTCTCTCGCGTCTATCCCATTCATGTAACACTACTACAAACGACACGACAGCGGGCAACTTATGCCGAGGAAGACCTACAGTGGCTATCTACAGGGTTATTAAAATCGTAGCGACTGCTGCTGTTATGGCGTGCCTGAACATGCAATACCACCATGCACACACACGCCTACGAAGAACAGACCTGTATGCTTGCATCTGCAGTACAAAGTACAAACCAATGCTGCATCTCGTTTCCTCTTCCTCCCAGCAAGTATAACGTGTTAGGGAGCGGCCGGCGACGGTGGCTGCAGTACAATGCAGCACGTAGCCACACGCAGCAATATTCTAGGAGGCGTGTCTATGCTTCCAAGCACCGGGAAGGATAGCGCCATGAGCGGAGATCGGGCATGGTAGTGGTAGTAAACGCGCACGCACGGGCGCGTACACGCTCGGTTTCAGAACGAACATGATTTGTATGAGATTATTGAGCATAGTTTAGAAGTCAACGTGGGGTGATACCCCCTCCGCCTCTCGATCACATTTCAGCACGTGGTGTGCCATCATTCACACGACAGCGGAAAAAAGAGTCGGACACGCAAAGATGGGGAAGAGAAGATGCCGACTAGGACCCATGACTTGTGCTTACCGACACGACGTAGTCTATGAGATGCAACTCGACAGGACGCACGAACCGTCCTCTCGCGCTCCGACCCCTCCCCCTCCCTCCTCATCCAACCCCCTCCTACGACACCGCCACCTCCCTCCTCCTCTGCACCCTCGTACCATGACACCTCCTCCTCCTCCAACACCCTCCTACGATACCTCCCCCTCCCTCCTCCTCCGCACCCCCACGACACCTCCCCTCCCTTCCTCCTCCAAACCCCGTCCCACGACACCTCCCCCTCTCTCCTCCTCCGCACCCCACACAGCACGTCACACGACCTATCTAACAACGGTAAACCGCTAACCTGAGTACTACTCTGAAAAAAATCTGACCGGAGAAATTGTTAGCAGCCGAAACTCGCCTCCCCGAAACCCTAACCCCTCGGCGAATCGACAATTCCCTAGAAGCTTCCACCAGCCGTCATCCCCCCCCCCCCTGGGTGGTGTGACGATGCAACCACGCATCGGACGGGGAATCTCCCCCGGCTGGCGGCGCGTGGGACGAGAGACGTTACTTCGGCACGTGGATGCAGGTCTTCTCGTCGAAGCTGACCTCTCCCTTGGCGAAGGCTGGCTCTTGTTTCACGAACCACTCGTCGACATTGAAGTCAGGGAAGTAGAAGCCGACCTCCCGCGCGGCCGACATGGGCGAGTCTGAAACAGAAACGTAGCATGAGTGTCAGCGGTCGATCGGTCGCAGCGTGCGTCATCCTACGATAATACAGTACAGGGGGTCACATATCTGCGTATAGAATCAAGTACCCTTCGTAATACATTGCAGGGTCGCATCTTTGCATATTGTGTCTGGTGCTACTTCCAGAGTATGATAATTTTCTAGAGGGACTCAGGTTTCTGCTCATAGTGTCTGGTACTCCTTCCAGAGTATGATAGTACGCTGCGGAGATGCATGTCTCTGTGTAGTCGGAGCGGAGTCAGGTACTTGTTTCAGCAGAAAAGAGGGGTTCTATGTACAGTGCAATATTTTCAGTTGGGCTATATACAAGCGTAGCATCCTAGAAAAGATAGCACTGCTGCAGATTTTAAGCGTAGTTTTCACTTAATGGCTTCCCACGTGACACAAACCTGAGCCGTGAACAGCGTTGAACGTATCCTCGGTTCCAAACTGGGCCCTCAGTGTCTGCGGCGCATCCTTACGGGCCCTGAAACACGGTCATTCATTGAAAGCATATGATAACCACAATCCCATCCTCATCCTACCCACCGCACAACAGGGGTTCGAAATTAAGGGCAGCAGCAGTTTTGCTATCTCAGTTTGCTGCCCGCTCTCAATTTCATTTCAGCGGCAAGTACTTGCTGCCAAGAAATTCCTAATAAACCGAGCCTACTAACACCAAAGTTACTGGGAATTTCTGTTGCAAAAGATGGCCAGTTGTTCAGGATTGTTTTTCTTCCAACTGCGTTGACCCTAGATTACCATTCGTACGTCATTCGAAAAACAAGTTGGGTTAAGCATAGGTGACTATACTTACAATGAATGAATCAGAGGAAACGGCTAGGCAGCCAAACCAGCTTCCATAATATGGACAGAGACAATAGGACAGTACTGTGTGGGAGGGAGGGAGTAGATCTGCTAGGGGTAAGTTTGCTGCCATTTTTTTCTCTGGCAGCAAGTAAACAAATGTAAAATGTAAATTTTGCATTCTGTTTTTGATTACCGCTGCACCATCTCTCGGTAGCGCGAGACATCTACCAGGGTGCAGTAATGCAAATAATCACACCGCAGAAATTTTGGTCTGAGTGTAAACACAGAGGTTCATACTAGCTTCTCTTTTTCTCCAAACTCTAAAGTACACGTCCTACTGATTCCGTGATTGTTTGATTTGTGCTCTAATCATATGCCTCTTTGTTTTAATCAGGTGCACTTGTTTTGAAGGCACCATTTGTATTTCGATTCTCCGGACACGATAATATGCAGAGCTGGTAGGATGTGGTCAAATCTATTTTTCTATGCTATAATTGTATAAAATCTTAGTGTTGTTAATGTTGGTGTAATCATGATCAGTGATATATCCGCTGTGAGGTGAGTCTATGGTTCGCTATATTCTTTTTGGATTGAGTGTTTCTGAGCAAAAATCTCGTAATACATGCTTTAAGACCAAGTCTGCAATAAAATATCTTGTTATTCTAACCACGACGTCTTTAAAGACTATTAAATGCATTAAATCCCCCCCTCGCAATATTCAACTTGATTTCTTGCGACCGTGCTTAGTTATTAATGAGTGACTGAGCTAAGGGCCACAGGTAGTATTACCAGTAGCAAATAAGAGGGGACTGTAAGAACGCAGAGCATGTACGTACGTGGCTAACATACTTACTGCGATGGTTTCGTTGGTCCCATCAGGGCACGCCACTCCTTTATCGCGTTATCTCTCGCTAGGACGTGAGCGAAGATTGGTCCGCTGTAACGCAACGTGATGCAGAATCACACGACGTTCACTCAAAACACGACACACGACACACCGTAATGACGGCCTCCCTCCCGTCGCTGCCGGTGGCCACTTCACCTTGCACACGCAACGTTTCCACAGCACTAACTCGCTATAAGCCCTACTCGATAGCATCGTGGTTCTCTTAAAAAGCCCCGCACCATTCACTATTTTCAACAGCACAGCGTCTCACTAGAGTTTTCCAGTTCCTGTGCAAAGACTTCCCTACAACATTCGTTATATTAGACAGTGCAGCAGTCAGCCAGACTACACCACTAGTTAAGGGGCCTCGCTTCCCTCTGTTGTTTACCGATGCATTTACACAGTCTACAACCTGAATACGGCGACGCAACAGTTCACGTAGATGTGCCACGATAAAAACTAAATGTTGCTGCAAGATTTGTACTGCACGCAGAACAGTACACCGATAGCTGCTGATAGAGAGAAATCACATACGCGCACGCTAGGCCATAATAAAATTATTGTTTGTTTGCCCTCACCCGACCGACCCCCCACAAAAAGGCACCCCCCCCACCGACTCAAAAAAATTTATTGATTTTTCCCATTCTTTTTCTTTCATACAAATTGTATCACTGTACATTATATTAATCTGTAGGCAATACATTATATGTACCAAGCAAAACAAACATTCAACATAAAAGGTATCTCCACACTTGTAAGCACACCCGAGCATGTAGACACCATGCTGAATTTGTAAAAAGACCCCCTCAAAAAAGAAGCCTATCCACCTACCTAAACTTTTCAGCCTGGGTCGGGTGAGGGCAAACAAATATTTTTTTAATCGTGGCCCCAGCATTCATCAAACATGCCTGTTAGTACATATATACCTTCTTACACATACCTTGTCATGAATGCTATAAGTTCTGGGAAGAAAAATTTGCCTGAAAAAAGAGCATAAAACCCATATATGCAGCGACAGTACAGAGACCCCTTCAAATACCAGTGAAAAGTGGGTGAAAGTGACCGAACATTTCTATGACTCTCATTTCTAACAGACCTAACAGACCTAACATTTCTATTCATGCAAATAGTTAGTACTTATTATAAAAAGATAAGAAAGAGTGCAACAGTTATCAACTCATAAAGAAGTTGTCATTTTCACACCCCCCTTATCATTCATGAGGAAGTTCCTTCCACCTTCCTCTGCCCCTAAAAACGGTTACCCTACAAAGGTAGGTCTACCAATTACCTTTATGTTCTCCATAGAAGCTTTCGGCATCGGCTTGTGAAAGGGTCAACATTCTAGTGTTGGCAAAGTAGAAATTCTTTTTGATGATAGCTTCCCTAATTGCCTAAGGAGAAAAAAGGGCTTTTTGGTTGCCGTATAAAAATAAATGGAAACTTGTGGGTTCAACGTGCACGTGAAGATTTGCAAAAACAACACCAATGTATTTACAATTCATGCTTCCAGACTTTTTGCCATCTTTTTTGGATGATCATATTTTCAGGCACAAGGTCATGTAGTTTAAAAAGCATCAAGGTGTGGGTAGCAACAGTAGATATTTAGGATGCTCACATCAGCTCAGCTGCTTGACTTCAATCAGATCTGGGTAGATCTCATGCTGAGCAATTTCAGACATAATAAAAAAATACCAATATTTTATATATATTTAGATTATAAATATCAATATATATATTATATAATTTTCAGCATGAAACGTTGAGTCTGCAATGAGCATTGATTCGGGGGTCAAATCCTGCGATCGAATGCGATACAAAATCGACTGCAGTCCTGAAATGTGAGGGGAATCGAGAACTTGGGTGCTATCATCAACACCTGTTGGCTGGGGTGACGTATGTACACAGTCTGAATGTGAGGATGAGGTGGCTTCAATGTACACATCTCAGTTGAAAAAACATCCACGCATATTGCCTGATGCTATAAATACCAGAGAGTGAAAAGGGTGCTCGATAAAAACTAACCCTGCAGGATAGCTTTCTTCCTGATGGGTTTATTATGTAAGTAGACGGGGGATTGACCTTGTACACTGGCATATTATACTGACAAATTTATGGCATGCTACCACGTGGCTGGCAATTGGTATGGCACTGCTATAATAAACCATCCACGTGCATACATTAGCAAGGACATTGCAATAATTACAGCTGCTGCAGCATTCTGTCACCTATTCCTGATTATAGCTATAAAAAGTATTATCAATATCGTATATACTATATATCGTATATATCGTATATAATCGTATATCAAATATTTCGATGACCATGAAAGCTAGAAAGACATACCTACCTACAGTCCCTCGTAAGATAAACACTAGGTGCAGATATAATGCACACAATACAAACACAACTGGAGCAATCCTAACCATTAAAATCATGCAGTAATGCATGATTAACAACCAGCTAACTAAACAAAGATACGCATCACGTGCACATTATACAAACAGTAAAATTAGTATATGTTACAAACTAGTTCTGCATGAAAGCCATAGAGTTAGTAATGACAACATTTTACTGCGCGTGTGCATGCATACATGTGTGTGCATGCGTGCTTGCATGCAAATATGTTGTAAATGTGTTTTATCTGCAACACATATTCCACTAAACAGATCTGTATTATCTATATTGGTGGTAGTGCACACTGACATCCACTACCATGTGGGCTTATGCACTGGCAGCAAGACTTAGCTAAACTCCAAGACTGGCAGCAAGACTTAGCTAAACCCCTAGCTAAAGGTCATGTATACATTGCTATGCAGCCGGTGTCAGCCCTTGACCGAACCCGAAATTCTGTGCACAATCCCACATGCTCTTCCATGGTCTTCTGCACGCCCAGTAAATTGCAATGTAATGCACGGCAGTTTCAGTTCTGTACAAACCTGTTTTGAAACATGGGTCTATAGGCTATATCTATTATATAATCTTGATGATTGATGACAGATGTGTTCACAATATTTCAGTTACACACACACTAGTAGTGTAGAGGAATATAACCGATTATTTTGAATGAGTAAAAGTAATCACGCAACCACACACACATGCTCACACAATCCCACACAAACAAAGATACATTTAATCAAAAACATTTATTATTTTAGGCACAGAGTTATTTTTGTCTTCAGGGAGTTCCCACATCTATATGCAGACTTACATTCCTGCAGAGCATCATTTTACTCAGGTGCACGCAGCACGCTACACTGCGAATCAAATCTGTTGGAGTTGGCAAGTTGTTAGCACGTTGGTGAGGATATAACACAAGCATTAAACCCATCCAGAGAAAGCCAGTTAATTCGGTAGGCACATATATGCAGTTACAATGTTGACTGAATATATACTTGGTAAATTAACTTTAACTACAATCAAACACGTAACAGAAGTTGCTTACTTTAACAACTTCCGGCTTTGATGCAACATCTGGCTTGACCAGACCTAGCGTCAACTCAAGCTTCTGAGCCAACCGAGCGACAGTCAACCTCATAGTGTTGGTAGATACACTTCTGCAAGGGACCAACATGCAATCCGTTATCGTAAGTACCAGTAGTCAACTGCACGTGTCGATTAATGTTTTGGCCCAAGGATATAAGACTAAGAGCTGTCCACATTTGCGCATTTGCAAGGTCACACATAGCTCTAGTACCAAAGCCCGCGTTCATTAACTGCCGCAGGGCTATAGAAAATTTTCAGCTCGATTTCGTAACTGCAACCTGTTACCACCTGTCCCCACAAAAAATGGATCGCAAAACGCAAAATCATCGGGCTTTTTAACACTTATTTATCTACATGGACATCTCACCTATCTTTTTGAACACTTTACACAACTTT